CCTCTTCTTGCAAACTGCATGTGTCTCTCCAGGATCATTTCTTTGGTCAGAGTCCTCTTAACTGCTCCTTGTATGAAGAATGGCTAAATATAACACTTCTGGTTTCAGTCTTACGTTCCTAACAATACATTTGGTTTAATCTTGTTTACACTTCAGTTGGTGACTTATAGAACTCTGTCCCAGGTGTCCTACCACTTTGGGTCCTATCAATGAAGCAATGTCAGCTTGAGGAACCCAGGAAACATTGCCTTCTCTGTCACAGCACCTACCCTCTGGAATGGTATCCCCCCAGAGATCGGGTTGGCTCCAACCCTGATAATATTCAGGAAGTGATTAAAGACTTGGCTGTTCTCCCAGGCTTTGGCCAGAGTGAAGGTTGAACCCCTGCTGGATGTTTTTTAGGGGTTTTGTTTTTGGTTATATGATGTTTTGGGAAACAGTCAAGATTTCTTTTCCTTTTATAATTTTTTAAAACTTTTTAATTGTAAGCCAGCCAAAGTCATTGGAGTCGGGCAGCCTATAAATTAAATAAATAAATAAGCAAACAAATAAGTATAGCTGGCAGCAATAGTGTCCAGTTTTAGAAGGTTTGCTTTGCTTTGCTTAGCTTTTCTTTTTTAGTAGTACTATTATATTTACTATGCATTTATTACCTCCAAATTCTGGAGCATTTGCAATAAATATAACAAATAAGTGTCAAAATGAATAATTTGGTAAAGAAAATACCTATGAAAATTCATGTACATTTTCAATACATTTTTTCCTATGATATACATTTTTGTACATAGTTTAGTATGTATAAATAACATTCCTTAAGAGTATTATTCAGGCAAAGTTACCCTGATATATAGATTTTTACCCTTTTATGAAAAGGTAGGTATTAATGTGCCCAAAACAATTATAAATTTCACAAATTCAAACTAACACAATCCATAAGAATTGGCCTGAATGATTTTTGTCTCCACTCCTTCTCTGTAGGGGAAATGGTAACTTGGGGATTATTCTGAATGAAATAATTGTAGACAGGAAAGATTAAACCCTCCAGTATTCCTTAAAACAAACTGATAGCCCTGCTCTCTGTCTAGCTTTCTTTTCATTTTCTTTTTTAACTGAAAGCTCTGATCGCAGGGCTGTTGAAAAGTCACATGACCTTACAAATGCAGTTGAGATGGGCTTCTCACCATCCATCAAAATTATCAGAAGGATTAGCTGTTCTTAAAACAACAACAAAAGCCTACTATCCTGCTCCTAGCAGTACAATAAAGACCTAAATAAATACTATATACTTAGATATCTAGTCATACATCAAGTACATCATCTCTAGGATTTGGTCCTTGATTAGTTAATGTGCTCAACATGAGAAAAGATTTTGAGTTTTCAAAAATGGTAACAAAAATGCAATTATAAGATTATGATGCATGATTCCATGTGGCTATGAATCTTGCTTTAATGTACCTGGAAATACAAAGTGAGAATGCATTTTGCTTCCCTTCCCACTGAGCAGAGCTTAATAAGTATGATTGTTATAAAGGAAACACTGGTATTTATTAAGTTATTGTGTTGGATGTACATATGCCCATGTGGAAACTCACTCAGCTGGGCACATGTGGACATGCTATCTGCATCTGTTTCTGTATCTTTGTTGATTGTTGTCTTTCATATTATGTGTGGACATCCACAGTAAGCCTAAGCATAATACTGAAATAGCACATAGTTACTCTAGAATGATAATATTGTTCATGTCTAGCTGCAGCAAAAGGGGGAGGCTTTCAAAAGAAAGGAAGGCCTTGTACCCTGTTCCTAGTTTTTTTTTTTTGCAACATAAGTACTGTTCAACCAAATTAAGCCTCACTGGCCCTTTGAAGCTACAATTTATAGCTTAATCCTGCCGCAACTCTGAAACAGTCCTTTCTTTGAAAGCAGCACAAGCAAGTTGAAATGATGAATGGTGTCAGTATTCCAGCACTAATGAAGCTTATGAAGCTTGCAGGAGAATGTGGAGAATGGCATATTTCATAGCACACAAAGCCCCATGTGTTTCCGTTTTACCTAACCTTTGGATTGTAAATGAGCATGTCACATTGTTCTTGTTGTAAGCTAGAATAGGAATATGTTCAATTTTGGCAAACAGTCTAATTAGAAATTATCTTACCTTAATTCAAAAACTAAGCTTTAACCCTTGGCTAAAAAAAAAAATAGTGTATGATTATTTTTCAAAACTGTTTTGCATTTTGGTTTGTTACGAGTGCCTCACTAAAATAGAAAGTCTGTCCACAGACACGTGAACAAGATTTTGTGCCAAATCTTAGTGTAGGACAAAATTACAATTATGATATGGATTTGTTTACTGTTTTCATTTTCCATTATATTTTTTTCATAGTGTTCAGCTTATGAAAGTAAATTTTGGTGCTGGAAACATAGAGGGCAATACAATTTCTTGCTAAGGATTCAAACATGCTTATAACCATGCATGTGGGGCTGTGGGATTCTGAGTCAGCATGTATGTCTTCATGCCACATTAAACCTGATATTCCTTATATTTCAAGAATAGCTTTTTAGTGTGTTCTGTGGACTTTAATGAGAATCTGAAATTCTGTCAGCCCTCGAGAGGGACAGTGCTTGGCCACTGGATCCCAGCCTGTTCCCACCTCAGTGGATTCATTCATTTTTATCCTAATCCCATTTACTGAACTATTCCTTTAATAAGAGTTGGTATACAAACAAGCACTATCACACAGAACAAATAGAAGTGCCCTCACCTTAATCCGAAGTTGTAGCATTGTTCACTCCTAAAGATGGAAGAGAAATTCAGCATGAAATTTATATGTTTGCCCTGCTTGTATATCCCAAATCTATATAGTAAGGCAGAGAAATCCACAACAGAATATGATACATTCTCTTCTTTTAAAAAAGTAGGATTCTTTAGAGAAAAAAATAACTATGCAAAATATATACAGTACAATTTATTAGGAGAAATGTGCAAGAAAATAGGTACATACAAAATTCTTGGAGGTTGAACAAATGATTGTGAAAATGGAATGAGGATGAACAAAATGAAAAATGGAACAAATCAAAAATTGAAAAAAAAATCTAGCTATATATGCAGGTTTATAGAAGGTTCTTCTGCACACTGAATGATATCATTCCTAATACTCTGTTATCACTGTTGGGTGCATATTATTACATGATCAGCTTTTCCAGTGATCTGTTATGGTGGTGGAAGGGTGAACTAGGATTCTTAAATAAGTGGAAGTATTTATACATAGTATAAATAGGAAAGATGTAGTTTTCTGCATAAAACCACCCATGCCAACATAATGTTATTCTTGCTTGCTTGTTTGCCTGTTCTGAGGCTTTCTATATTTGAGTACCAGGATTCATTGAATGTGAAGGCTGGGCGAGCCTTCATGCCAGATAGCAAGGAAATTACACATGTAACCCTATCATGAATCCATGAGTATTTGGTTCTGTTATATTTGTCTCAGATAAGATGGGCAACTGTGCATGTTTAGCACATCTGTGTAAACCTCCGAGACCATTTTTGTGAATTTTAAAGGAACAATCAGAGATTTGTCTAGGGTAACAATTTTAAAAGTAGTATAGGGGAAAATTATGCACGTATCAGCTGCAAAGTCACACAAGAACGCTAGAGCAGTGTTTCTCAACCTTGGCTACTTTAAGATATGTGGACTTCAACTCCCAGTCTGCTGGGAGTTGAAGTCCACACAACTTAAAGTAGCCACGGTTGAGAAACACTGCTCTAGAGTTCTTTTTGAAATTGAAAGGGGCTGAATTGTGAAGTATACTTTCTGGAAAGGAGATTCTTATGGGGAGAAAATGGATTGGACAGGATAGTCTAATTTTGAAACATCTGAACATACAGCATGCACATGTTTCATATACAAAATATATAGGATATACTAAAGCCATAAGTATTTTTGGAAAATCTGTGTCCTGATGTTTTGTAATGTATTGCCACCGCTTTAGAGCTTGGCTTTCATTTTGACAGCTGATAATTGTTCAGCTGCAGCTCTAATTTGTTTGTATCAGTTAAGATTAAGAATTTATTCTCTCTTTTCATAATAATAGTAATTAAAAGTATATTTGTTCTTGGGTTCATGCAGCTTTTCATGGAGCCAGGGAAATCACTAATAACAGCTCATCAGCCCATCGAAATGAAGCAAACTGGAAATTATTATTTCTGATGGAGAGACACAGCAGTAACAATTAATATGTTGTTGTGTCTGTCATAGGCTATTTCGTTCCTGACACCCCTGGCTGTCATTTTTGTGGTGAAAATAATCCGGCGCACAGACAAGACTGAAATTAAAGAAGCTTTGCTAGGTATGCTAAGAATAATATTAAATTCTGTTTTAAAAGATGGGAAATTATTTCCAAAAATGTTGAGAAATTAAAAATCTTCCTTTCAAGAGTCTGGTATATGTACTGGTCAATAACTGAAAATCATTATTATTATCATCATCATCTCTCAAATATTCTTATGCCCTTCAGGGACACCCTCCCCACTACTATCCCCCACTTAAGAGGGATTTCCCCTTTCCACCAATACTTCTCAAGTTATCACAGTGTACTGAGAGAACAATATGTAAACAATATGTTCCTATACAAGTCAACCAAAGGCCACATCCCCCCCCCCCCCCGGCAAAATAGAGTTCTCTATTAACTGGACAGGGAAGGAAAGGGGGAAAAAAGGGAGAGACAGCAGTAAGTAAGTAAGTAAGTCTACTGAGTTCAGGGACCTTACTCCCAGCAAGAATGCTTTGGATTTCTAATCCTGTTAGTCATTATGAAATCTTGCAATGTTTTAGCAGAATTCAATGTCTCTTAATACTCTCTACTCTAGAAAGTGAGTGTCTACAATGAGACGAAAGAGGGAAGAAGTCATTGTTATTGCTTTGGCTTCACTGACTGGGCAAACTCTAGAAAACTGCATGGAGTCCATTGATAGAGAGGGCTTTCAATAATGGGCTCAAAACATTAGTTTTTTTAGTTCTGAGTCTCATTATTGCAGAAGGAAAAGCAAACTGTTTTTTGTCTTATAGACACTAGCTTGTTATTATAGCTACAGGGCTCTACTTTTCATCTATCCCCTTGCTTTCAGCAGTATCTGTCTATATTTAATGATTAAAACAGAACTTTCCCATTTCAAAAGTAATCATTTTCTGAGAAGAGAAATTCTCATCTTCCTTTCAGGTAAATATAGTTATTTGGATTTCCAACCAATTTTATGAGGGTCCTAAAAAACAATTGATGGAAGAACTTCAGCTTTCTTGGGCCTCTGGAAAAATCTGAAGCAATTATTGAATGATACAGTATTTCTTTGCCAGTCTAGTTTTCCATTGATATTTGGTAATCCACAGAGTTGTGTGGGTTTCTTCTGGTAATGGAGTACTTACTACTTTTTTGAAAAGTGAGCAGGTCTTTACACATGATGAAATAATTTACTTATGTCAGTAAAGTGAGCCAATTTGGCATGTGGTTAAGGCATCAGGCTAGAAACTGGGAGACTGTGAGTTGTAGTTCTGTCTTTGGCATGAACCAAGCTGGATGACCTTGGGCCAGTCATACTTTCAGCCCTAGGAAGAAAGAAATAGCAAGCTACTTCCAAAAATGTTGCCAAGAAAATTGCAGAGACTAGTCCAGGCAGTCACCAGGAGTCAGCACTTTGGAGGCACACAAAACACACACACAAAAGTCAATAAAAAGCCAGCTGATAAACAGAGAGCTCAAAAACAGATCCCCCCCCCGCCCCTCGATTATAAAAACATATGAAGACTGCAAATCTTGGTAGCTCAATTGTAGAGGAGGAGAAACTTGTTCTAGCATATATGGAGTGGAGAATATCAACACCTGTTACGTATTTGTATAACCCTTCTCACTGGCAGTAAATTGAGAATGAAGGAATGGTTTCTGGACTGGTTGTTGATGTAATGGGATCAAACACGAATCCATCTTTATCTCTGAAGAAGGAATTTGTGGGTTCCAGAGGCATGGGATATGAATTGACTGTGCCAAAAGATCACAGAAAAAAAAAACATGGAAAATATTTAATGTTATCAAACTATCAGTTAAGTTTTCTGACAATGTTTGTAACAGCCTATTTCTGAGTTCTCATTGCAAATTTAAAGCATATATTGTAGTTTTATATGTTTTTTCTTTTTTAGCTGTTTCCTTGGCTCTTGCTTTAAATGGACTCTGCACGAACACTATTAAATTAATAGTGGGGAGGTAATTTCTGATTAACTGTTAAATATACACCAAGGTAGCCATAATGATTCTGGATGGACATGACAAGCAAGAACTTTGTATAAATAAAATTTAGTATAATTATCTCTAATCATAACTACTTGTAGTATTTATTATTAGATTTGGAGAATGCCTGACTCCCCAAAGACATTAGGTGGCTTTTCATCATTACTGTTACTATTACATGTTCTTATAATTATGGAGAAACTAATGGGTGGATAAATGAAGAGTTGGTAAAATGAATGCCTTGTAGAAGTGTTGCTATTGCTTAGACATCTAGAAAATATTAGGGCTGTGCAGTGCTTCACATTAGATCAGTTTGGAGCACCTAGGAACACAAACCTAGCACTTGTCTACCATACTTTAATGTAAATGTGTCTTTTCTCTGGAAAAGGAAGCATAAACAGGATTTTTCCTCTGTAGGTAGAGGAAATGCTGCAATAGTTTTTAGATTTAAAGCAACTTCCCTTTTGCTTTGCTTGGAGAAATGAAATCTTGTATGGGAAAATGTAGAGGGAACTAAATTTAGTTGCCCACTCCCATAAACCCAACTCCATTGAAATCAGTTCATTGCATGACACCACTGTGAACCCTGTTTCCTTCACCTTTTAAAAGTGCCTCATGTGGTCTTTTCCAGGAGATTGAAAAAGCCAATTAAGTTTTGAAAATGCTCTTCTGATATAGCCCTCCTGTTTAACTCTAGGCAGTTAGAATTAACTGCTTTCATGGTCAGAATGCTCTGGATGAAAATAACTAATTAATTTCCCTCAGCATTTTGCTCAGTGGAAAGCAGAAAAAATTGAGCTTCCCCAGCAGAAATAGTCAGCTTAATGTAATGATCACTTGGAGGCTTTACTAACGACTGCTCTTCCATATCAAATGTTCCTGGTGTTTCTTGCAGACCTCGTCCCGATTTCTTTTACCGCTGCTTTCCGGATGGAATAATGAACTCTGAAATGCACTGTACTGGTGATCCAGATGTTGTGTCAGAAGGGAGGAAAAGTTTTCCTAGCATCCACTCCTCCTGTAAGTTCTTTCAGATGTTGTGCTTTGCCGTGATTCCTTCTGCTTCCAAGATGATATGGGGCGAGAAGGCACATATGAGGTAGACAGAATCTGATAGAGAAAGAGAGTGTCACCAAACTGAACTTTGGAAGCACTGGATGGGGCAATGACACAGTGCACAGGGCTTGTATTTTTCTGACTGTCTGCTGGGCATGAGGGTGGGTTAAACCCAGCATAGTCAGAGAAGACTTTGGAGATATTAGAAAGAAGAAGAAAAAGGCTCTGTATCAGTCTTTGGCTACAAATTCTACCCTGATATAGAGGAAAGGTAGAAATATTGTGGAATGATAAGTCATCTTATATGCGGGTCTGGATCAGACTCAACCATTTGGGCTCTCTGGTTCTGGGGACTTTACATGTTTAGCGTTGGATGAGATTGATGTGCACCCTGGGGGAATTATTGGACTCACAGCCCCTGCTGAAGGAGCAGGTAGCAGCTGTGGCCAAGAGGGCCTTCACACAGATCCATTAGTGTGCTAGTTGCAACTATTCCTAGATCAGGAAGCCCTTCAGATGGTTGCTTGTGCCTTAGTCACCTCATGGTTGGACTATTGCAGTGAACTCTACATGGGGTTGCCTTTGAAGACCATTCAGAAGGTACAGCAGTGGTCCATAATGCAGTGGTGTGGACAGTCATAGGCATGTCATGATATGGAAGCTGCTCTGTTGCTCTGGAAGCTGTACTGGTTACCAGTTGGCTTCCAGATGCAATTTAAGCTGCTGGTTATCACCTATAAATGTCTTCATGGCATAGGGCCTGGTTACTTGAGGGACTGCCTATTTCCTATCACTTCTGCCTGTCTGGTAAGATCAGGTAAGATCAGGTAGAGTGGGTGCCCTCCAAGTCTCTGGGTCAGTGTCATTTATCGGGATCTATGAAATGTGCCTTCTGTGGCTACTTTCCCCTAGAAATCCATGTGACTCCCGCCCTGGTGATGTTCAGAAAGTCCTCAAAAGCCTGGATGTTCTCCCAGGCTTAGTGGTAGTGGTTGTTGATCCCCTGTGTGCTGTTTCTCAATGGTTTGTTGTTTCTTGATTTTCAAGTATAAGTTGCTCAGAGTCATTTGGAATTGGGCAGCCTCTAAACAAAAAATCTACAAGAGACCTGCACAATATGCAAGGCAACAAGCCTAATGGTGAAATGCTTATCTAGCCCTTGTTTCCCCTTCATGGATCACTGCCTTGTCGTGGCGAAGGGGCTTGCGTAACTCAGTG